ATTAGCATGTAAGTATATACTTTATTTTATTTATTTTTTTTAAATTATTAGTGCTCTTAAAATATGCATCTAACAAATTTTAACAAATGCCACTTTCAAATTATTAGCTCGTAAGTTTAAGCTTTATTATATTTTTTTAAATTATTGATCTCAATATGTGCATTTGACTAATATTTTACTAAATGCCTCTGTCAAATTATTAGTCTGTAAGTATAAGTTTTATTATTCATTTTTTTTAATTAGTAATCTTAAAATATGCATCTAATTAATATTTTAACAAATGCTTCTGTCAAATTATTAGCATGCAAGTTTATATTTTATTATTATTTTTAAATTATTGGTGATTTTAAAATATGCATCTGACAAATATATTAACAAATATCTTTTAAATTATTAGTCCGTAAGTATAAGCCATATCATATTTATTTTTTTAAATTGTTGGTGTTCTTAAAATGCATCTTATATATCTAATTATCTAATAATATGTATTTTCAATAAAGTTAATTTGTAAAATAACGATTGGTGATAGTATCTCTGAGTTAATATTAGTGATTTGTGTGTTGTTAGCAAATAATCCTGTAACTAACTTGCATACTGTGTTAAAAAGTTACTAGTACTTTTGAATATTGTTTTTCTTAGCTTACTTTTCTTATATTTGCAAAATAAATTTAATTTTATATTTAAATTATGTACTTTGAGAATTTTATTTTATGAAATAAAATTCAACAAACTATTTTTTAAGTTCTAATAAACATAAATCTGTAGGTTTATATAAATTTATTAAAACTTAAATAAATAAAATAATGCTTATAACAAATTATATAAAGATATAAAAATTTGAATTTCAGTATTAGAATTATTGTGATTTCTGCTATAGCGTATTGTAAAAATTCTGTTACGAACTTGCTATTCCGATGATTACATTATGTGGTTGGGAATATTAGTCTGCATTGTAATTTTCGTAAAAAATTATATGGTGCAAGACATCTATACTCGACAATCACGTGACTTGTTACGATTTTTCAAACTGCTAAAACTTTTTATACAAGAGGTTTTTTAAAAAACTGGCTGGTGACTTTATAAAGCTATATATGCTCTATAAAATTCCCGGCCAGTTTTTTGAAAAACCTCTTGTATAAAAGGTTTTAGCAGTTTGAAAATTGATATTAAAATAATAAGATTTATATATAAAATAAACTTTAAACGAACTTTAAAATGCAAAACCTTTTTACATCTGACCGGTAACTTTGTAGAGCTCATCATGAAGAACAAAGTTACCGGTCAGATTTTAAAAATATTGTCTGTGCAAAAAGTTTTAGCATTTTGAATATTATTGTCGAGTTTAGATGTCTTGCACCATATTACAAAACTTGCCCGACATATAGTAAGCAGCTAAGGTTGAGTTGGTCTTGTTGAAATTATTGCGAATTTTTTGTTGCTATTTACTGTAAAATTTTCTATTTCAGAGTTTGCTCGCTAATGCAGTATACAATGGTTAAGGTAGAGATAGTTGCATTAAAATTATGATTTTTGTCATGAGTTACAATAAATATTCTGTTAATGAACTTACTTGTTATTCTAGTACCGCTATGTAGTTGGATCAAGTTAGTTTGTATTGAAGTATCATATTTTCAACTATGAGTTATTGTAAAAAATCTGATACAGAACTTCTTGCAGTTCTGATACCCACCGTGTGATGATAAGTTGGAATCATTATGGTTTATATGAAGTTAATGTTAAGTTAGTTCGTATTAAAATTATCATGATTTTTATCGTGAGTTATTATAAAAATTTTGTTAAAAAATACTCTCTATCCTAGTGACCACATTCTTTGTTAAAGTTGAGTTTATTTGCATTAAAAATTATTATGTTCTATCGTAAGTTAAGCACAGTAGCTGAGCTTTTTGTACAAATCGTGATAAGTCTATACAAAACTAATATAACCCTATTATATTTTGGATATGGTATTTGTCTGAGATTTCATCATATATTTAGGATCCGGCATATGTTTGGGATTTTGGTATATTTTTTTTGGATTTTATCATATATTTGGGGTGTGCAAGTTATGCCGTATATATAACTAGTTCGAATGTATGTCTAATTTTTACTCATCGCAATGATGCTATGCAGTCTTTTTTAAAACAAGTTAAATCAAATAACCTTTCGACAAGTTGATAGCAGGTCATTATTAAAATCACGTGAAATATACAAATCGTAATTTTTTAAAACTAATATGCCCAGAATAAGTTACATATAGAAAAGAACCACAAATTATAAATCTTATTAAAAATGATAGTGGAAATAATAATGTATTTCCTTATTATTACGTTCGGATGAAGATTCATGAATTTGCTTGATATTATGAAAAGTTGGAATAAAATATGGTACCGTTTGATTTGAGATAGACTTTAAAGATGGTCGTTGACCTAGTAATCTTGGAATACGGGATCTGAAAGTGGATTTCTTGTCATAATTAGACCTTATTGAAGTTGGAGTAGATGCCGAATTACTCAAATCTATGCTAGACTTTTGACAACGGGCGTCTCAATTAATGGGTCGAAAATTAAATTTTAATTAACGGAAGTATTTTTAATCGATCAGTCATTAGGATATGTAAGTAAGGTAGTTTATTACACGAAAGGAAATTTTAAATAGTAAAAAAATGTACTGTAAGTTAACCATTTTTGTCAATAAACTTTTTTTCCCGAACCACCTCTTTTTCTGCGTTGACTAATCATACGTTATAATATTAAAGTTAATAAGGTATTGTTCAAGTGTTTCATACTTTTTATTATTGAATTTCATAATCAACACACATTTTTGCAAGATATTCGGCAAACTATTTAGAATTATCTCAAGTAGTGATTGAGATCTTTATTTTGATCTATCGTTGCAATTGAGCATCATTACAATTATTATAAAATCACAGCTTGAGCATATCTAAATAATATTGTCATTCATATTATTGACTTTTATTCAAAATATTATGACAATAACTAAAATTACGTCATAATACTTATGCACAATTTCGATCACTATGAATTCGCATCTAGGTTGATGCTTGAGAAGACCCAATGTCAATTATAGAAAACAGATCATATAAGGCAGATAAACTGAAAAAAAAGTAGTAAAAAACTAACAACCAGGATAATTACTACAGCATATTACAGCATACATTAAAATTTTAAAAATTTTAAAAATTTAAAATTATTTTAAAAGAAAATCTTTGACTTTACAATTAATAAAGTTAAAGCTGTTATAACGAAATCTTTGAGCCGTATCGTCTTGCAGAGTTGCTTGTGGAATTTGAAATCGAGATTGGGTATCTGGTCTTCATCGTTTTTAGTATAATACGTCATCATCACCCATTGCTTTCTCGGTTATCATTCTTGTAAATAGAAATTTTAAATTAAATATATAGTGTAAAATAAATGTAAATGTTTGTGGCGAGTGGTACTCAAGTTTCACAATCTTTGATTTATTATTGTTTATTCTATGAGCAGTAATATTTATAGCAGCTTGGACACCTTTACGAAGAATGTGGTTGCTTATTCTTCTACTAGCATAAGTTTTCGTTAATAGATTTTCACAAATTTTTTATGAAATAACATAAGTTAATGAATATTAATAGCTTTTATAAAGGAATGTTTTTTTTTAGTTCTGCTGTCATGTTTTAAAAGAGAGAAAGATATTTGGATTTACTAATTTAATGTCGAGGTTTAATTACATACGAGCTAATAACGCATTTTATCATGTGAGAGTCAAGGTATCAATTAATATTAATCTAAAATAATTATACTATTTAGTGTATTTCGCAACTATGGAGAACTATTCTGATAGACTAATAGCCGAAATGAGAATTAAGAAAAGTAATTTAAACACTCACGCATATAACTCAACCGGAATTAGCATTGAACAAAAGTCCTATTGATATATTTATAATATACGTAATATCAATAATGATAGCCTTAAAAATAACGTTATTAGAAAATATAAATTTTTTTTATACTAGTGTTTGCAATAGTGATCCGATCATATAATTAAATTTAAGAAAATAACTAAAAAATTTACTTTAAACCAAACTTTTTAAAAAATAAACAGATGTACAGATAAAAACTTCATTTTCACTAATACCCAACGGACCAAAGATTATTATACAATTTTTCAAACTTCTAATTGCCACTTAAATTAATACGATCTGACCGCTTAACTATGATTATATGACCAAAAAAATTATTACCAGTAATTAAAAAAAAATATTTAAAAAAATTCTACAAATTTAAAGTTTATTAATATAAAGTAGTAGTGTAATATCTTATCTTTACTGCCGTAAGATTACTAAATAAAACCTTTTAATTAAAATCACTATAAATTTTTAAAGTTTATTAAATTAAAAATAAAATTAAAACAAGAACTATTGTAATTAAATCCATTGTAATATTTTTACTAATTTAATTCAAAATTTAATTATTGAATTTTGAAAATTAATAAAAGCCTATTTACTTTTGCTTCCAAAAACTTCAAATGTTATTGCGCAAAAATGTTAGAAAATCTAAAAATATACTCCAGATTCCAATCAACAACACTGATGGAGTTATTTAAATTGTATAATTGGCAACTCTGAAAATTTTCGCCGTGCGGCCCTTAAATTTCAATAAAGGTTTTAAGCATTAATTTTTTTTTTAATAACCATTAATTTTAATTTTATTAAAGAAAAATTTACCTTTTTTGTTCAAGTAGTTCTTTTTCTGTTCGTGATAACTCTTCTTGTTCTTCCCGTGATAAATTAACACCAGGTAATTCTTGTAAAATTTGATTACATATCGATATATGTAATACAGATCATCTAATGTAAATTTGTACAACTTGTACAACGTACGTACATAACAAATATACAGTATGCCAAACTTGATTCCGGAGTTGTAGTGACAGCAGTGTTTAATTGATTTCTAGTTTATTAATGACGTATTTTGATTTGATAGACACTTATTTCTCACAATATGAAACGAAAAGCGCAAACATCTCAGTCAGAACAACTTGAATCAACAGAGGACACAAATGATGCAAGAAAAAAAGCAAAACCTCTTAATACATCATCATGTAATAAATCATCAGAAACCGAACCAGCTTTTATTGAGTTAGAGATGCCTCAAGCTCAAGTGTATTATTATTCATCCATTTTTTCTTTACAAGACTGTGAGAGTTATTATTCTGACTTAGCATCTCTTTCTCAATGGTCACGTCCAGTCTTTAAAGTTCATGGACACACTTCACCTGCTCACCGACTCACTTGTTCTTTCGGTTCAACTCCCGATAAGGTTTATAATTATTCCGGAACTAGTGCAAAAGTTGATTCTATTGACTATCCACCTTCCATAAAAATTATTCAAGAAAAAATTGAATCTATTTTAAATGCAAAATTTAATTTTGTTTTATTAAATTGGTATCAAAGTGGTAATGACTATATCGGTGAACATTCGGATAGCGAAAAAGGTCTTGTTCCTCAAGGTATTATTGCTTCGGTCAGTTTTGGTATACCAAGAACTATTATATTTAGAAATAAATCTGATAAGAAATTACTACGTAAAATTATTCTTGAGAATGGTTCTATGGTAATCATGAAGGGTACTACTCAACGATTTTGGAAACATGCGATTCCAAAAGAAAAAAAGATTAAAGATGGTAGAATCAGTTTAACTTTTAGGCAACTTCAATAATATTGTAGTATTAATCATTTCAATATGTTGCACGTCATTTTCAAATTTTGTTACAGTAATTATTAATTGATATGTGTTACGTATTTTTCAATTTATGCAAACTGAAAAATGAAATGGCTCGGGTGAATTTTTAATGCAAATAAATTACAATAAATCTAATTAGATTTTGAGTTCTTTTATTGTTATGTACTTCATTATTTTTTATTATAATCATGAGCCATTGATTTAATAAAGAATTAGTAAAAATAATAATCAAAATAGACTGTAAAAAATAATTTTCTTAAAAATTTACAATCTTGCCAAAGTTCGTAATCATCAAAACAATAACATGTAAAATGTTATAAAATTGATGATTTGGAGCGAAAAATAAAAAGCTTAATGAATAGAAAACATATATATTTCTATATTTTTTATAAATTAACAATAATAATAAATATACTGTACAGTATAAAATTTATACATACCGTTCTTAAAATGCATAGCCTAAAAAAACGTGCAAAATATAAATGCTCTACACTTTTAGTATTATTTAATTTACAAATTAATTTTTTTTTTAATATTAGTACGACGCTAGAACCATTAATTAATATAAAAAACGAATTGGCTATTTTTATTGTAAGTCCCTCTTTTCTCTTCCTCTCTCCATTCTTAATTTATACAACTTATTATTACAACTATTGATCTATTTTAACAACGTAATTGTTTGATTTTAATTTAAATCCTATCCCATTAAATTCAATATATTCAATATTCAAATATTTCGGCGTAGAGTTCTTGCAAAGTGCATCTGCTAATGCTTTTCCTCCTTCTGATCCAAGTCTATTACTATCGAGATTTAACGTTGTTAAGGAGGTGTTCTTGCAAAGTGCATCTGCTAATGCTTTTCCTACATCGGATCCAAGTTCATTACTATTGAGATTTAACGTTGTTAAGGAGGCGTTCTTGCAAAGTGCATCTGCTAATGCTTTTCCTCCTTCTAATCCAAGTTCATTATATCTAAGATTCAAATCTTTTAGCGTGGAGTTCTTGCAAAGTGCACCTGCTAATGCTTTTCCGCCTTCTGATCCAAGTTTATTATCTTTGAGATTTAACGTTGTTAAGGAGTTGTTCTTGCAAAGTGCATCTGCTAATGCTTTTCCTCCTTTTGATCCAAGTTCATTATCTTCAAGATTCAAAGAAGTCAGTGTGGAGTTCTTGCAAAGTGCATCCGCTAACGCTTTTCCTCCTTTAGGTCCAAGATTATTACAATAGAGATTTAACGCAGTTAAGGAGGTGTTCTTGCAAAGTGCATC